AAAGAAAGAAAGAAAGAAAGAAAGAAAAAAGAAAAAGTAATCAGAGATATGAACCCAGTTTCCCTAGCTGTGCTTGACAGTTCCAGCTAACGCTTAACACAGAGTGTCTACTAAAATTTGAATGAGGATGCAAAGGCCAAGAATATTTAGAGTACAAGGCAAAAGCCAGCACGTATAGCGGTAGGTGTTAGTTCAAACTGCTCTGCACCTGAGAGGTTAAGGTACATTTTCCCTTATCTCTGATTTCATCACTCTTTTTCTGAATTTTTCACACTCTTCTCCTAACTAGCATGAAACAGTATGAGGAAATATTCCAGCCAGATTCCACTTCTAATTGTCCACTAATGTGAGGTAAGAAACTAAAAATAAATGAATAAAAGGATGCCAGCCACAGAGAAAGGTGCTCCTAAGATAGGAAAAGATGGATAATAAAGTCATATGTGAGAAGAGGCAGCAATACATGACTTTAAATCTCTTTCCTGTTAAATTATAAATCTAAAAAATTATTTTTTAAATACTTTTACATCATTATTTCAAATAACACTACCTAGGTCCTATGATATTGCTTTTATTCTTGCTTTCTTTTGCCTAGAATGACAAAAGATCCTTTCAGAAGAACAGGAAAGAATATTGATTCACCTTCTCTAACATGTAGTTCTAAGCTTCTGGCAGAAGAACTCGTCAACTTTTACCCTAAAGATTGAGTTACAACACTGAACTACCCCCTTACCTCAAGTTATGACAGTGTTACTAGCACCATCCCATCACGCCTGTCTGCATGTGGCAAACAGCACAGGTACTTCATACAGAACACAAGCAATCGCCTGTGCTATTCTTTTGCATGTTCACCCACCTGACCCTGAGTTTCTCCGCCATTACTTTATTTCTTCCCATTTAAGATCATTTCTACAAGCGCTTCTCCTCGTTTTCTATTTTCAGTCAATGGTAAAAAGATTCCTAGTACTCACATGTTTTAGTTAACTAACTAACTTGCTGAAGTTTACTGAATTTTATAGTAAATAAGTATGTATAATACATTCACACAATGCTTTCTATTTCCTAGCTGGCCTGGCTCAACTATTTACTACTGTCAACTCTGTCTTATTTTTATGTCTATCAGTCAAAACAAGTTAATTCTTAAATGGCAGACATAAGATCACAAACTTTAGTAGTTCTAGATCAAGGAAACTTAAATTAAGATAGTTGACAATCTGCTTTTCTAAACTTAATTTTATTTTAAAGAGTAATAACAAAAACAAAAGCAAAAGCAAAGACAGAAACAGAGTAACATACAGAAATACACGTGGTACAGATTTTCAAAACAAGAGTGGGAAATTAACAATGCTAGCTATATTACGTATTTCTATCAACAAATCTGTTGCTCAGATTAACAGAGATTGGTATACAAAGTTGGACAAATAATTGAACATTAACACTTGTTTTCAATAAGCCTTATTTTTTCTTATCCTTTTGCTCGATTTTAGAATTTGTTTTAAAGAGACTATAATCATAATTAATAAGACATTAGAAACAGCACACATTTAGAAGAACAAGATAAGAGGTATTCAACCATGGTTTTTGTACTGCATATTGCTGTCTTTGATGTGGTTGCTTAGATTACAGATCTTAGCATATAGAGTTAGTCAACGTGAAAATTCTAAACATTAACTGGTATTTTCAAAGAACTGATGGAACTGGTAGTACATCATCTCAACTATCCTCTATGTATACTTGCACGAGTATTCCCCCTTACTTTTATTTTGCTATCTTTTTCATTTTTCTCAGCTTGTTTATTCCTTATATTTAGTATCTTTCTGTTTTACTATATCTATTACACCTTTCCAACTTTATTCATTCCTTCAGGTTCTGACATTAAGGAGACAATAAAACATTTACACACATGGGTCTGATTTGTTTCACTTATGAGTGTAGCCACTAGTTGCATCCATTTAAATGTAAAGGCCTCAAGTGTGTCTTTGTTTATGGCTAATACTACATTGTACATTAGTACTCCTTGGGTGATGGGCATTTTTTCCCCAAGATTTGGCTGTGACAAATTGTGCTATAAACATGGCTGCGCATATGTCACTATGATGAGATGATTTCAGTTCTCATGGAAAAATAATCAGAATGGGAATAGCCGGGTTGAATGGGATTTCTAGTCCTGGTTTTTGGAGGAGTCTCCACACTGATTTTCACAGTGGTTGTAACAGTCTACATTCCCACCACCAATGGAGAAGGACTCTTTTTCCCCCACAGCCTCTCCAGCATTTATTAGTTGATTTCTTTATGACAGTCATTCTTCCTGCGGGGAGATGGTATCTCAATATTATTTTAATTTACATTTCTCAAAAAACAGTGCTGTGGAACATTTTTTCATTTATTTGTTTGCCAACTGTATTTCTTATACTGAGAAGTATAAATTCATCTCAGATGCCCACATCTGGATTGGGTCTTTGAATTTTGGTGGCCTGATTTTTTTTTGCAGTACTTTATACATTCTAGAAAGAATACCTTTGTTTCAGTGGTAGTTGGTTAAGTTTTTGAGGGTTTTTTTTTTCCAAATTTTTGGGTTGTTTTTTCACCCTGTTGGTGATTTCTTTTGACATGCAGAAACTTCTCAACAATATGAAATCCAGTTGTTAATTCCTTGAACTATTTCCTGTGCAGTTTGGTTTTTGTTCATAAACTCACTGCCTACCCCTATGAAGTGAAGATTTCCACTTAGTTTCTCTTCCAGTAGATTTAGTGTTTCTGCATTAATGCTTAGATCTTTAATCCATTTTGACTTTAGTTTAGTGAAAGGTGATAAACCCCAGGTCTAGTTTTAGTTTTCAGCATGTGGAGAGGGAGTTTTTCCAGCACCATTTGTTAGAGGCTATTTTTCTTCCAGTGAGTGCATTTGACCCTTTTGTCAAAGATAAGGTCAAAGAGTGTGTATGTAGCTGTATTTGCATCTTCTAATTTCTTCCATTGAACCGCAAGTATTTTTTTGACAGTACCATGCTGATTTTATCACCATAGCTTTCAAGTCAGGGATTGTAATGCCTCTTGCCTTGCCTTTAGGACAATCCTGTTGTCCAGGATTCCCTTTGCTATTCTAGGTCTTTTCTAGTTCCAAATAAATTTAGGAAGGTTTTACTTAGAACTGTGAGGTATGTTGATGGTATATTGATAGGACTGCATTAAATCTGTATAACAACTCTAGGACTATAGCTATTTTCACAATGTTGGTCCTTCCTATCCAGGAATAAGGAGTATCTTTCAATTTTCTGAAATCCTCTTGAATGTTTTTTCAGAGCACTGTGATTTTTGATAACTTTTTACTTCCTTTGTTAGATTAATTCCTAAGTTTTTCTTTGGATGCTACTGTACAAGGTATTCTCTAATTCCTCTCTCAGTGAGTTTGTTATCTGTGTAGAGGAATGCTATTGATTTAAGAGTGTTGACTTTGCATCGTGCTTTGCTGCTGAATTTGTTTATTGATGCTAGGAGTTTTCTTGTGGACATATTTGGGTGTTTTGTGTAGAGTATCTTGTCTATGAATAATGATAGCTTAACTTCTTTACCTATTATTCATTATTCCTTTTATTTCTTTCTCTTATCTAATGGCTCTGGCTAATGTTTTCAGAACACTATTGAATAGTAGTGATAATAGTGGACATCCATTCTTGTAGCTGATTTTAGAGTAAAAGCTTTCAGTTTTTCTCCATTTAGAATGATGTTGGCTATTGGTTTGTCATAGATAGCTTTCATCAGATTGAGGTACAGGCCACCTATTTGAATTTTCTATAGGATTTGATTATGAACGAGTGTTGGACTTCATCAAAAGTCTTTTCAGTGTCTATTGAGATGATCATGTAGATTTAGCTTTGACTCTATTAATATACTGCATTACATTTCTAGATTTACATATGTTGAACCACCCTTGCATCCCTGGGATGAATCCTACCTGGTCATGTTGTATAATATTTCTGACGATTTGCTGCATTCTATTTGCTAATACTTTACTGAGGAGTTTTACATCTGTGTTCATGGGGGTGATTGGCTTGTAATTCTCTTTTTTGGTTGACTCTCTCTGGTTTCAGGATCAGTATAATACTTGCCTCCAGGAATGATTTGGAGAATATTGCTTCCTTTGAAGAGTTTGAGGAGTATTGGGAATAAATCTTCTCTAAATTTCTTGTAGAATTCAGCTATGAGTTCATCAGGATCTTGGCTTTTGTTTGTTGATAAAATTTTCATTACATTTTCAAGTTTATTGACTGACACTGGGTTATTCAGAGATTTTATCAACTGA